GGGGTACCGTTATATGGGGGCTATACGAAGACGTGGTCCCACATGGCCCATTTTCTGACTTATGCTGTAGTATCTGTTACGAACTTCAAATGCCAATTTTGAAACAATTCCGGTACACAATGTCGCTAAAATCATTAAAATACCGAATATCGGGAGGTACCGTTATATAGGGGCTATACGAAGACGTGGTCCTACATGGCCCATTTTCAATACCAAAAGTCCTGCAGACTAATACACATTAGAGTAAAATTTTATTTACCTACTTCATTTCGTTCGGAAGGTAGAGTGATTTCCACAGACGGATAGACGCACAGACGGACGGACCTTGCTAAATCGACATAGAATTTTATGCTGGACAAGAATATATGTACTTTGTGGGGTCTAAAATGTATATTTCGAGGTGTTACAAACGGAATGACAAACTTAATATACACTCCATACTTTGGTGGAGGTTATAACAAGTAAAAAAGCAGCTAAGTTCAGCCGGGACGAACTTTTTATACAACATTCGGGAGGAACTTGTAAATTGTCAAAAAATTCCGTCGAAAATATATAACTCAAAGTAATACCGTTATATGGGGGCTATGCGAAGACGTGTTTCTGCCTAAGTAATTTTATGTTATACCGAATAAAGAAAGGTGCCGTTTTAAGTGGGCTATACAAAGACGTGGACCTGCATAGACAATTTTCCATTATAGGTTGTCCTACCCATTACGAACTTTAAATACGAAATTTAAAAATTAAATTCCGGTTAATAATGTCGTGAAAATCATAAAAATATCGATAGCTGGGGGTAGTTGGCGGATGTAAACAGTTCTCTTCCGGAAGTAAAGTACTCAGAAGAAACTCCATTACAAACTCGATCTAGATTTGGTAAAAATACTACGATTTTCCATATTTGAACCAAATTGGATATTTCTTCGAGGGTTATCGTGCATTCCAGCCGGCCAGACAGGAGGATAGAGGGGCAACTTCAAATGTCCTATAAAGAATTTCATCCAAGGAGACCAAAAGGCATTGCTATTTCGGATGTTTTTATTTTTATCATTTTTTTTTTTTTTTTTTTTTGTAAAACCCATGATTTTTGCCGCATCAATGCCATAAAGCTTTTCTAGCCATAATGCAGAGGTTATAAATATATCCTTGCCATATTTTGGGGAAATGTAAATATATAGCTTTAATTTTTCTTGGGTTGAAGGCATAAATATTAAGGGTTGTCCGTTATATATCGAAGAAATTCCCATTATTATAGAGCAGTTCCATTAACACATGACCTCTGAAAGTACTATTTTTCTTCCTCTCATGAATTTTTTCCAATGTACTTTTCCAAGATGTTACACATTGAATAAGTTAATGTTGATTTTTGCTCCCGCCCCGATGAAGGATGAAGGATTTAAAATTAATTTGGTAACATCCTTTATATTCAGAATTTTTATAAATGATTCCAAATATTTTTAGCGGTTAAAACATCCAGATGGTTTTAACAGAGTATTGCTGTTGGTAGAAGTAAAATGTGAACATAACATTTTCTGTTAAACAAAAAGCTGTTCCACAAAAAGCTTTTATTTTCTGTTAGAAAAAACGCACTTTTGACAGACCACCAATTTATGTTAAAACTTTCGAAAGCTGTTTCACGATTTTGGACGTTATGAATTGGAAATTTGAATTCAACATTTCGTTTTGAATACGGAACTCATGCAAACGTTCATAGTGGACAGAAAATTTCAGCAAAACAAGAAAATTAGGCCTACTTTACGAATTGTCTGAAATATTAAAGCTGAAATGAATGGGTAGAAAAATTATAAGTTAAAATCAAATATACTATAAATAGCATGTGAGAAAAAATGTTGTATTTTCCCATTGCCGGTTTTCGATTTTTGTAAAAAAATATAATTTTTTTCTTAATAAAAAAGATAATATTAATAATAATAACAATGATAAACCAGCAAAGAAAGTCTTAAAGTCGGGCGGGGCCGATTTTATGATACCCTACACCACTTTACTAATTTAGTAGAGCTCCACATAACAATTAAAAGTTTTTATGGGAGAATTCAATCATACACGCTATGATTATAATTTTAATTTAAAGTTCAAAGGACTAAATATGCCGATTCATTTGTATCTTTTAAATTCGGACTAGTATTGCCCATTTGGTGCACAATTATCTTAAAATCGGATAAAGATATAAAGGGGAGCTATATCCAAATCTGAACCGATATCGATAAAATTTAGCAAATGTATTTCATATATTTCCCTAAATATTGTTGTTGCAGAGTTCATATTACGGCTGCGGAGGACAATAATAACAAATCGGATGAACAATATATATGGGAGCTATAGCTATATCTGAACCGATCTTCACCAAATTTGACATACTAGCTTCAGAACTCAATTCAGTCGTAAGGGCCAAATCCAATCCCATTTGGACAAATATTAGATGCTTGGTGCACAATACAAGGTAAATCGGACGAAGTTATATGTGGCAGCTATATCAAATCTGAACCTGATCTCGATAAAATTCAGCAAATGTATTTCTGAGCTGTATTTGATGTATCTCCCTGAATATCGTTGCTATGGAGTGTATATTACGTTTGTGGGTAACAAATATAACAAATCGGATGGTACTGTTCATATGGGAGCTATGGCTTTATCTGAACCGATTTTCACCAAATTTGACATACTAGCTCCTAGACACAATTCGGTCGTAAGTGCCGAATTCCATCCGATTTGGACAAATATTAGACGCTTGGTGCACAATACAAGGTAAATCGGACGATGTTATATATGGGAGCTATAGCCAAATCGGAACCGACCTCGATAAAATTTAGCAAAGGTATTTCTGAGCTGTATTTGCAATATTTCCCCAAATATTGTTGTTAACGAGTGCATATTACGGCTGCCGAGGACAAAAATAACAAATCGGATGAAAAATATATATGGGAGCTATGCCCATATCTGAACCGATCTTCACTAAATTTGACATACTAGCTTCTAGACACAATTCGGTCGTAAGTGGCAAATTCCATCCGATTTGGACAAATATTAGACGCTTGGTGCACAATACAAGGTAAATCGGACGAAGTTATATGTGGGAGCTATATCCAAATCTGAACCGATCCTCATAACATTTGGCAAAGATATTTCTGAGCTGTATTTGTTATATTTCCCCAAATATTGTTGTCACAGAGTGCATATTACGGCTGCGGAGGACAAAAATAACAAATCGGATGAACAATATATATGGGAGCTATAGCTATATCTTAACCGATCTTCACCAAATACTAGCTTCAGAACTCAATTCAGTCGTAAGTGCCAAATTCAATCCCATTTGGACAAATATTAGACGCTTGGTGCACAATACAAGGTAAATCGGACGAAGTTATATGTGGGAGCTATATCCAAATCTGAACCGATCTCAATAAAATTTGGCAAAGATATTTCTAAGCAGTATTTGATATATTTCCCTGAATATTGTTGTTACGGGGTGCATATTACGGCTGTGGGTAACTAATATAACAAATCGGATGAACGGTATATATGGGAGCTTTAGCTATATCTGAACCGATCTTAACCAAATTTGACATGCTAGTTTCTAGACTCAATTCGGTCGTAAGTGCCAAATTTCATCCAATTTGGATATTATTTGGTGCACAATAAAAGGTAAATCGGACGAAGTTATATGTGGGAGCTATATCCAAATCTGAACCGATCCTCATAACATTTGGCAAAGATATTTCTGAGCTGTATTTGTTATATTTCCCCAAATATTGTTGTCACAGAGTGCATATTACGGCTGCGGAGGACAAAAATAACAAATCGGATGAAAAATATATATGGGAGCTATGCCCATATCTGAACCGATCTTCACTAAATTTGACATACTAGCTCCTAGACACAATTCGGTCGTAAGTGCCGAATTCCATCCGATTTGGACAAATATTAGACGCTTGGTGCACAATACAAGGTAAATCGGACGAAGTTATATGTGGGAGCTATATCCAAATCTGAACCGATCCTCATAACATTTGGCAAAGATATTTCTGAGCTGTATTTGTTATATTTCCCCAAATATTGTTGTTACAGAGTGTATATTACGGCTGCGGAGGACAAAAATAACAAATCGGATGAACAATATATGTGGGAGCTATAGCTATATCTGAACCGATTTCGATCAAATTTGCCATACTTATTTTCAGGCCTAATTTGGTTGTATCTGCAAAATTCCATACTATTCGGGATGATATTACACGTTTGGTGCACAATAAAAGGCAAATCGGACGAAGATATATATGGGAGCTATATCTAAATTTTGACCGATTATCTCCAATTTCAATAAGGTTCGTCCTTGGACCAAGCAAATGATCTGTGCAAAATTTCATTTGGATAGGGCAATAAATGCAAACTGTACTTTGTTTACAAAAATACATGGACAGACAGACGGACGGACATGCATAAATCGACTCAGAATGTGATTCTATGCAGATCATCAAAAGGAATTATGGGTCTATCTCGTTTCCTTTTGCCTGTCACAAACAAATACACAAAGACATAATACCCTGACCACCTTGTGGTGTAGGGTATAAAAATAAATAGAAATGAACAACTACGATTTTGTTTTTAAAATATTTAAATATATTAATATATTGACTAATATCAGCATAAGTATTTTTCTTCAATATTTTTTCAAGCTATTTTATTATAATTTTTTTTATAATTTTTTAAATTATTTTTAAAAAAAATAATAACAATAAATAAACAAGTTTTGTAATATATAATTTTTTCGCTATTTCTTTTCACATTACATTAAAAAAAATTAAACACTATTTTAACTATTTTTATAAAATATATTTTCTTTTATTATTTTTTACCAAAACAAGAAAACAAAAAATTAATAAAAAAACAAAAATTTATAAATACAAAAAATTAACTAATATCAACAATAAGTATTTTCATTTATTTATTAACTGAGCAAGTTTTTTTTCTAAATTCTTAAATTCGTAACAAATCAAGTCTTTGCCTTTTTTTTTGGGAAGAGTAGAACGAAGAGGGTGAGTGTGAGGAAATGGTTTTGAATCAGTATCTAATCTTTGGGCAAATTACTGTCACTCTTCCCCCGACTGTAGGGCCGTGAACTGCCCAGCATACGCTCCAACAGACTCTGCTTCGATTTACGTTTTGAGGCGACAACTTCTTTGCACAAATCCATAAACACCTCGGCCACCTGATCGACATGATCCGCTGCAGAGACTTCACTAAATTTACACTCAAAATCTTTGGCTAGAATTTCTCCCTCATCTCGGCTGACTTGACGTAAATGCACCATATCGACTTTATTGGCCACCAATTGGACCGGTGTATCCGATTGCAAATCCGATTTGGCACGACGTATATAATTGAAACTATTGCGATCGGTTATGGAATAGACGAGGAGTAGGCCATCTGCCCATTGTACCAATTCGGCGGCATTGGGAAATTCGTCATCAGCCTGAAAAAGAGGAAAGAAAAAATGAAATACATTTACATTTTCACATGACATCACGACGATGCTAAATGGGGTTAAGGCTAAAGGTTGTATGTGTAAACTCACACAGACACACACACGCAAATTAAATATGTGCAACCACTTCGTAAAAAATGTGTCATGTTCTGTTCTCTTTTCTGCTCTGTTTGTTTTTACTTCATTGCGAGAGTCAATTTGTTCGTTTTGTCCACATTTCCGGCCTTGAAAAGGACATAAGACACGAAAGCAGGATATGATGATGACACAAATACATCACTTCTGCCAGTTCGTCAGTGTTAAGTATATGATGCAATTTTTCATTAGGTTGATGACAAAAGATAGGAAGAGCAATAAATATTACAAAAAGAGTACCTATTACTACCCGGCGAATACTTAACGACAACAATTATACGCACTATGGGTCAAGGTTTCGAAATGAGAGAATTGCAGTTGGGAAGGAAGTCGGGGTCTGTAAGGCAAGCCGTAGTCGGCATGTAGATTAAAGACAACAGGATCTTCCCCCACCGCTTAAAGGCAAGGATTCTCTCAGCGATTCTGGTAAAAAAAACCACTCAGTCTCCGAAGACCATATAAAAAGGTGGTGAAATAAGTGACTGACTAGGAATCAACGCCCAGGCGAAATTGCTAAAGATAGAATCTTGAAATTTTGCATGAGGGCCAGTTTTGGTAATAAGGTCAGGTTTTTTGAAGTGCGTACTAAACAGGTGCGAAAAGTACTAAACTGTACCAAAAATTGAATAATTGGTATTAGACAAACGTAATGAGCTAGAATTCTGAAATTTGGAATGAGAGTCACCGATAGAGTGCAGGATAGATGTATCAAAGGATTTTTGGAAATTCGAACTTTAAGGTTACAAAAAGATCTAAAATGTTACTAAATTTCTAAAATGATACAATTTGGTACTATATTAACCCAATTACTATATGTACCATTTGGGATTAGAATCAAGGTTGGAAAGTAAGTTCGAGTTTTAAAAGAAGGTGGTTGCGGAAATATTTACTAAGTGTTTAAACTAAGTGTTGGAATCCTGAAATTCGATATTGAGGTCTATGTCGGTATCTGGAATTGAGACATGGCGTTTTTTATACCCTACACCACAAGGTGGTCAGGGTATTATGCCTTTGTGCATTTGTTTGTAACAGGCAAAAGAAAACGAGATAGACCCATAGTTCCTTCTGATGATCTGCATAGAATCACTTTCTGAGTTGATTTATGCATGTCCGTCCGTCTGTCCGTCCGTCCGTCCGTCTGTCCATGTATTTTTGTGAACAAAATGCAGGTCGCATTTATTATCCGATTGAGATGAAATTTTGCAAACAACATTTGTTTGGCCCAAGGACGAACCCTATTGAAATTGGAGATAATCGGTAAAAATTTAGATATAACTCCCATATATATCTTCGTCCGATTTGCCTTTTATTGTGCACCAAACGTGTAATATAAGCCCGAATAGTATGGAATTTTGCACATACAACCAAATTAGGCCTGAAAATAAGTATGCCAAATTTGATCGAAATCGGTTCAGATATAGCTATAGCTCCCACATATATTGTTCATCCGATTTGTTATTTTTGTCCTCTGCGGCCGTAATATGCACTCTGTAACAACAATATTTGGGGAAATATATCAAATGCAGCTCAGAAATACCTTTGCTAAATTTTATCGAGATCGCTTTAGATTTGGATATAGCTCCCATATATAACTTCGTCCGACGTACCATTTATTGTGCACCAATCGTCTAATATTTATCCAAATGGGATGGAATTTGGCACATACGACCGAATTTAGTCTAGAAGGTAGTATGCCAAATTTGGTAAAGATCGGTTCAGATATAGTTATAGCTCCCATATATATTGTTCATCCGATTTGTTGTATTTGTTACCTACAGCCGTAATATGCACTCCATAACAACGATATTCAGGGAAATATATCAAATACAGCTCAGAAATATGTTTGCCAAATTGCTTCGGCATATTTAGTCCTTTGAATTTTAAATTATAATTATAATCATAGCGTGTATGATTGAATTCTCCCATAAAAACTTTTAATTATTAAGTGGAGCTCTACTAAATTAGCAAAGTGGTGTAGGGTATCACAAAATCGGCCCCGCCCGACTTTAGGACTTTCTTTACTGTTTTTTTTTTTTGAAATGTTTACTAAAATTATAAGTTTGAAAGTAAGTTGCTTGAATTTTGAAATTTTGTATTGGGGTACCTGTTAGGGGTAGGTCTGTGATAGAGTGGTCATTTTGGAAATGTAGGGGTAGGTCTGTGATAAAGTGGTCGTTTTGGAAATGTGTACGACAAGTGTACAAATAGTACTAAATTGTACTATTTTTTGTACAATTTGATATTGGGTGAACAGATAGCGTGGAAATGGTGTCGGGCATATGTGCTATAATTGTACGAAAAGTACTAAATTGATAAAATTTGGAAATTTGATATTTATTTTACTGATGGTGTTTGTGGGAGAGATTTGGCGGTGGTTTGGAAATACGTACTATAATTGTACAAAAAGTACTAAATAGTGCTACATTTCGCATTGGGTGATAGGATGGAGACAAAATTCCGACATTTGATATTTATATTACTGATGGTATCGGCCAATGAGATTTAGCACGAAAAGTACTGAGTATGTACTAAATTTGGTATCGGGTCAGGGAATAGGGCTGGAATCCTCAAATATGATATTGAGATCTCTGTGGGTATCTGAAATTAAGATATAGAGATGATTTTGGAAATGTATTCTATAATTGTACGAAAAGTACTCAATAGTACTAAATTGGGTATTTGCTGAAGGAATGGAACTGAAATATGATATAAATGTCACTGTTGGCATAAAAGGTTGAGATTTGGAGGTGGGTTTGAAAATGTATACTACAGTTGTGCTAAATTGAACTAAATTTAGTATTGGATAAAAGGATAGAGCTGAAACCGTTAAATTTTATATTGCGACGACTGTGTGTGTGTCTAACATTGAGATATGGAACGGTTTTTCAAATGAGTACTAAAATTATACGAAAAGTACTAAATATTGCTATATTTGGTATTTGGAGAGGGGAAAGAGTGCTTCACATCTGAAATTTGTTATTTGGGTGGCTGTTCATGTTTAGCCTGGACATATGAATATTGTTTCGGAAATGTGTACTATGATTGTACGAAAAGTACTGAATGGTACTAAATTTTGTATTGGTTGTAGACATGGAGCTAAATTCGTTATGGATGACCCAGTTGGTATCTGTGGTTTATAGAAGTAGCTGGCTAACGTACTATAATTCTACTAAATGGTACTAAATTTTAGTAATAATTAAAGATCTGAAATTCTGAAATTTGACATTGATATGAAGATTGTTTTTAAAAGCGTGTTACGAAAAGCACTAAATGGTACTAAATTTGGTATTGAGTGAATGTATAGATGTGGAATCCCGAAACTTGATATTGAGTTCTCCGTGGGTATCTGGCGATGGTTTGGCATAGGCATGCCATAATTGTTCGAAGAGTACCAAATAGTATGAATTTTGAATCACTGTTGGCGTCTAGGATGTAGAGATGTAAACTGTTTTGGATATGCATATTAAATTTGGTACTAGGTAAAGGAATGGAGCTGAAATTCTGAAATTTGATATTGAGTCCACTATGGATTTCTAGGGTTTATATATAGAGACGTTGAAATAGTTATTTTATTGAAATTTATATCATTCAACACTTCCCTACAATTACGTATAATTTTGCCATAAATAACTTCAACTTTTTCCTGTTCCCACATGTCCTTCGAACTGAAATTTCTGTGGTGTCTGACCCAGTTTGAAGTGTTGTTTTTTTACAAATGTTGATGGCTATTTGGGTGTGTATGTGCAAATATGAATGTATGTCATCCATAGTTTAAACTACAACCTAACATTGTCCTGTCCTGTCACGAACACCGTCATTCTGACACATAGACAATGACACATGAAACAATAATGATGATAATAAAAGTGTTAATTGTCCAACAAAACAACCTTGATAAACGTTTTGCAAAAAAAAGAACAAACAGATGAACTAAATAAAAGTAAAGTGATGTCAGACAGATATATGTTTATTGTGTGGGAGAACATGACTTTAATGAAGTGACCGGAGATGGAGAGGGAGGAATATTATCTAATAAGCAAACACGTCCAAATTACAATACAACAATGAGGAAATATGGTGAATACCTGCGAAATGTTTAAAAGAGAGGTAAGAGAAAGCAAAACGTGAAGAGAAGGAACAGAAAGACCGTCTTCTACAGAGGAGCTGGTGCCCGTTTACAATAGACGACTTCCAGCTCGTCTATGATAGACGACCTCTAGCTCGTCTATGATAGACGGACCTCCAGCTCGTCTATAGTAGACGGGCCTCCAGCTCGTCTATAGTAGACGGGCCTCCAGCACGTCTATGGTAGACGGGCCTTCAGCTCGTCTATGGTAGACGGGCCTCCAGCTCGTCTATAGTAGACGGGCCTTCAGCTCGTCTATGGTAGACGGGCCTTCAGCTCGTCAATAGTAGACGGGCCTCCAGCTCGTCTATAGTAGATGGGCCTCCAGCTCGTCTATAGTAGATGGGCCTCCAGCTCGTCTATAGTAGACGGGCCTGCAGCTCGTCTATAGTAGACGGGCCTGCAGCTCGTCTATAGTAGACGGGCCTGCAGCTCGTCTATAGTAGACGGGCCTGCAGCTCGTCTATAGTAGACGGGCCTGCAGCTCGTCTATAGTAGACGGGCCTGCAACTCGTCTATAGTAGACGGACCTCCAGCTCGTCTATAGTAGACGGACCTCCAGCTCGTCTATAGTAGACGGGCCTCCAGCTCGTCTATAGTAGACGGGCCTCCAGCTCGTCTATAGTAGACGGGCCTCCAGCTCGTCTATAGTAGACGGGCCTCCAGCTCGTCTATAGTAGACGGGCCTCCAGCTCGTCTATAGTAGACGGGCCTCCAGCTCGTCTAT